AAATTATTATAAGATTTTACCCTGAAAGCTTGACGTGCACAGTAACACCTATCCACATGCATATGAAATTATGAATGTTCCTAAAATGCCTTTTGCCAGGAACAGTTGTCCCAGTTTTTGCGCGCGCACACACACACACACACACACACACACACACCACACCCACCCCAGAGCAAAGTGGAGTTTAAAAAAAGCCAAAGTGTACATTCAGTGAAGGGGAGAATATATATTATGCAACTAGACCCAGCTGTTCATGGAATAACCAGCGCACAGTGGGTTCTCACTTGCAGGTTACCGAACATCAGTTTGTGAAAAACATTAGGTGTGGAAGAGAGCACAAGAGGAAGTACAAAGATAATCGCGAGAGAAAAATGCAGACAAACTCATCAAGTGGCTCAGAGCAATGCAGTCATGAAGAGCAAAGACCAACAGCTTCAAGTGTCTTTCCCGGTCGAGGATTTGGATAGGCTTGTTCTTATTACAAGTCCATATTAAACAACAGAGAGAGAGAAGAGAGACACCCCAGGATTACTTTAACTTGCAAGCACACACCACAGGGAGAGCAGTGGTATTCTAAACCACTCACAGACAGGATACTGCAAAGATTTGGGCAAAGACAGCCTTGGGAATCATAGAACAAGGAAAACATATTTTTACAAATATTGCAATGCACACTGTGCATGACAGCTACTATTGTCAGGCAAATAATTTTTAGGAGTGACGTACCAATACTAAGTAGAAGCAAAGGAGAAACAAGCTCCATTTTTCTGGGCACTATATACCTTTTAATTTCACAGGTGTTGCAGACAGATGCAAAGTCATTTTGTTTCAAGCTGTGAATTTTGAGCTAGCTGCAGTTTTCCCACAGCAGAACTGCTTCCCATTTTGACAACTCAGAGTACTGAGCAGCAAGTTTACGTCTGTTTATCAATCAGAGAGACAAGACATCAAATGTAAAGCAGTTAGCCAGTGCAAGACTTCTATCTTAGAAAAAATGAGTGACAGTTGGTGAGTTCTCTAGGGGCTTATTTTGCTTATTTGTTTCCTGCAAAGCACGAATGATTTTTTTTTTTAATTTGACATTAGAGCATATTGAAGTTTCCTTAAACAGAGAAACAGTGTTGATAGCTATCTGCTTTCAAATCTGTCATGCTAACACGTCCTTCATTCAAACAGCTGTTTTTGCAAAGAAGCATCTACGTTGCCAAGGGATACAGAACATAAAACCCTTCACAGGTCCACCAAGAAGAAAGGCCTCTGAAAGCAAAAGGTACCAACACATCTGATGCTTAAATTACCCATGAGCTTAATTTTTTTCACAAACTCTGCACCATAAACTTCAGAGGACCAGCAACCTCAGACAGGAGGTGCAAGTCCTAAAACCCAAATGATTACCATTTTGAAAAATCTTTCCCCAAAAAGTGTCTATTCTAACCCAGTTTAGCACCAGAGACATTTTTAATTTCCTTTTAAGGCCTTGATTTACCTAGTTCTGTACTTTAAAGTGTGACACAGCAATTTTTTTACCACTCAGCAGTGAACATGCTTTGCTGTCAGCACACAATTTCCCGCTGTCGCGCTCGCCGCTGTCCGCTTCAGGTGAGAATCTATAACTACTTGATTTACCATCAGCTCCACATTTTTGTTTAGGGAACGGAAGGGTTTTGGACCAGTGCGTGGGACAACACGCAAGAAACCAGGCAATCTTCGGGTTTAACCTCGCTGACCTGCACCCTCCTAATTCAGAGGCCCCAAGTCGAGCCCACCACCTCCTCCCTTGTGCCAGAGCAGCCCGGCCGACCGCACCCGTGGGCCAGCACGCAGCCAGCAACCGAAGCAGCGGGCACGCTCCCAGCGCTGTTCAGGC